GCCGTGACTGTGGTGCAGAATGGCGACACCGTACCCAGCAAACGCACGCTGACACTTTAGGAGAAAAGGGACAGGATGGACGTAACTTGTTCCTCGAACAAGCAGGTGGAGGGGAGTGTGCCGAGAGCACGAGAGTCGGGCCGTCAACCTTCTGCTCTGCATCCCTCTGTGCTGTTTGAGTGTTTATAAGAACAACACCTGTGTGTTCCTTTTTTAATTACCGAGATCAGCAAAAATATTTCCATTTCAAAAACAAAACACGAAACCAGAACAGCAACAGACAAGCACCATATGAGTCCACCTAGGTGAGGTCCCTCGAGTGGAAAGTCTAGGAGATGGAAAGTAGAGCAGTGGCTGCCACAGGTGGGGGCAGCGGATGGGGCATCTGTTAGGTACAGAGGTTCAGTTGTGCAAGAAGAGAGTTCCGGAGAGAGATGGTGGTGACGGATTTATAACCCTCGGGCACCACTGCACACTTAAAATGGCTAAGACGGCCAACCTGACGTTGGACGTGTGTCTTAAAAGGCAGCAAAGCCCCATCTCTCAACCGGCCGTCCGGGCAGGGCCGTGCAGGCCAGAAGAGGCCCGGGGGCCTTGGCACCCACGGACAATGACTTCTGCCTCGTGATGTGACGGCTCTGGTGCCCTCCTCGGCCTTCCACATCACAGCACAACCCGTCAACTCTCCCAGGGGGACATGTTCTAACCCGACTTCATTTGGTAGATGAAGTGCTTGTCAGGGACATGGCAGGCATGACCTCCCAATGGCCTTTGAATTTACAAATTCAAGGATTTCTCAATCGGCCTCTGGGTACTATACATCAGGAATCACAGCGAGATGACCATGGAAGAGGGAAGGGAGAAGGGAAGGGGCCTTCCGAGGAAGGCTGGGGAGGGAGGATGAACTGCTGGTTACCCCAGAATTAAGAGGAGGACTGCGTGCTATTGGCTGGCTCTGGAGCAGTTTCAGGAAGCAAATGGTCCCTGACAGTAAGTGCGTTTGCTTGCACTGAGAGTATGGGAGACCCTTCCTTTGCTTCTTAGAGTCTCCGACTGAGCAGGGGATTGGGTTGAGAACGGTCTCTGGGAAGCTGTTCTTCACGGGTGACCCTAGTTCACCTTCCATCTTCCGCCTCACACCAGTTAAATCCACTGCAGGAGCTGACACCCACGGCTCCATATCATGCCGGGCCCACTTCTCCCCCCATCTTCCCACTCTGTCACACACTCATAACCACATGCTTCATTTATTAGTGACAGATCCCCACGGCAATTGCCTGGGGATCTAGGCACAGAACCCACCCAATCGGTCTCAAATGCCCCTTCAGTTCTTCACCCGGTCCTGCATCTTGGACAGGGTTCCAATACAGTGTCCTTGAACCATAAGCTAAAACCTGTGGGGTGAACGCTCTATGATAGCCTGAAGCCTGGGCATGAGATAGCCCCCTCCACAAGTGGAGAAGCACAGAGAAGGCAATGCCTAGTCCAGAGTCACAGAGCTGCGCAGGGGTAGGGCTGGGATTCAGACCCCAGCTTCCCGACAGTCCCTGGCTCACTCAATCAGAATACCACCAGTCTTCACCAGGTGAGCCAGCAATGAGGTAAGGTTCCATCTAATTCTAGTGGAGACTTGAAGAAAAAAGAAGGATGCAAAGCTGGGGGTCCAAATTTGCAGGGACCCTGAGTTCCGTGGGCCTGGCAGGTGCAGTCATTCCAGCTGCCTTCTCTCCATGCCCTTGCTGGAGTTCCAGGAGAAGAGAAGCCCGCACAGTGGACTTCTGCCTGGTCCACGGCAAAGAAGCCAAAGCCAAGCCCTGCTGTTGGAACAAGAAGTTCACACGATCCAATCTCTTGTCTCAGGTGTCCTAAGAGAGAAGCCAGCACCCTGGGATGTTGGGCTTCCTGGACAGCGTGAATACTCTGTTAGCTACAGGGACCAGGACATCCCTTTTCTTCCTTTTAATACTCGATTTCTGCAAATTTAGGGGCCCTGTGATTTCTTGGTTTCACAATGAGTCACTCGTTACTTGGGACCTGAGGTAGAGCACATCTCTTTGCAAACTGGGGATGGAGTGGACGGGCCGGGGTGCACATTCACCTCACACAGCGTCCGCGTCTGGGCTCAAACGTGGAGGAGGTGTGAATTCTGGGTGCTACAATTTAAAAAACACATTAATGCCACACTCAAATCAGGTCATGGCAAAACTGAACCTCGTGACACATGCCCGTTTTATGCTGTGTTTTTAAGTAAAGATTTCACTACTAGAATGGGGGTGGCAGAGATGGGGGGTTAGTGCCAGTATCTCTTTAAGAGTCTCCTGAGTCCGTCTGTCACAACCAGATTGTCAACCATCTCTTAGAGATCCAGGGACAACGAAAGGAGCTTGCTAGAGAAGGAATAACACGGAGAAGAAAATAAGCCACATACCCACCTCAACGCAGGAAGGGAGAGAGGAGACGGACATCAGAGGGGCAGGGAGTGCCCAGAATTAGTGGGCCTTCTGGGGGAGACTCTGCTGTTTCTTCTGGCCCTGCACCCATGCCCCTGGCTTCTGAGGAACACATCCCAGATTTTATCAGAGGAGCCACAGTAGGATAGACACCTGTCCCAGGCCTGGCCACCCTGTCCTCTGGTTTGCAACATGAATGAGCGGCACCCGTGGGCCTGACCGCCTTCCAAGTCACAGCAATTAACAGCTGTGGGGGGGCTGTCCAAATTCTAGTCTAAGGAGAGACACTGACCACCTGCACCTTCAAACACAGCGGAACTGAGAGACCACACACGGGACTCAGAAAGCTCCAGAGCGGAAGTGCTGCTGCCCAGGAGGATGGAGCCGTGAACGCCGTGTTTATGCACGTGAGTCCAGGGGGATGATGGCAGGACCACCGCATTCTGGAATGATTCATGTGTTCAAGAAATTAGGAAGGCAGCAAAACTGTGACGTCACCCAGCTGCGCTCTGGAGTCAGCATCAACTGCCCATTCTAAGCCTGTGGGGAAATTTCTGGCTCATCTGGCACAATGTGGCCAAGTAGCCGCCTGGAAAGCCTCTTTTGGGGGCTGGTGAAACTCTCCCCTGTGCCCTCCACAGGGCAACTGGCTTCGGTGGCAGGGAGCCCTCCCTCCCATCCCCGCAGTCCAAGCGTGCTGAGGTGGCTGGCCATTCCCGTTCGCAGGGACTGGGCCACCCAGCTGACTAACTGATTATGCTTTGGGGGCCAAGCCTGCCCTGTCCATATCACTGTTAGTCAGAGCCGAGGGCTGGCGAGACAGCATCCCTTAAAAGTACTGGAACAAAGGCAGGAGCATCTTTCCAAGACAAAATGGAAAAGAACACAGTGTACAAACTGAGGTGAAGTGTCCGTTTCCCCCCAGTGTGGCTATCCGGTGATGGCTAAACCAAGAGGTGAAACAGACAACTTTCTTCCAAGTTAAAAAAAAAAAAAAAAAAAAATTACAAGATGACCCAAATAAGCAAATACAGATGGCTTGCTTTGTGTCTGCCCCTCAACCTCCCCACCAAAGTGGCATTTGTTGGCAAAGGTTCCCCATACTACACTTTAATCAGAAACCAAAGCAGGCCAGAGGTCCCAGTCTCAGAAAGGGATCTGGGTGGCACCAGGGTGACCTGCAATCATTGCATTCACTGACGACTGCTAAGAAAATCACAGTGGGGCCAGCAGGGTGGGGCCAGCAGGGTGTGTTCTAGTTGCAGGATCGCAGGCAACTGCCAAAGACCCTGAACTCCCAGCCACTGCTTCAGCAAGGGGCTGTGGCACAGCTTCAGCCGCCCTGGACTGGAGGCTGGGGGAGCTGGCTTCGGTGCCAGGAATGTGCCCCCACCCCAGCAGACCACAGCCAGGCGGCCAAGAGGGGGCTGCCTTTCTCCCGGGAGGTCCCGTTCTTCCCTCCAGCGAACAGAGCTCTACCCCACGGCCACCAAGCACAGAGTCCCATCACCCCTCCCCCAGGGCCTGGGCCACAGCCAGAGGCCCCATCTGTGTGGCTGTGAGCCTGGTCCATGACACAAGAAACTGGCCCATTCTGTGTACTTAACCCCAGAGGAAATGCTCTCCAGTTCAAAAGGGTTCAGCATTTAAACAAGAGTGAGAAAAGAAAGCAACCCAACCACCCCGGCCAGGCAAAGGGGGGGACGCATTCTCTGGCCAAGCGCATACCCACCACGCAGCGCACCTCGCTCTAGACAGATGGGGCTGCTAAAAGCTCAGGGGGAGATTTTGTGGACTGAATTTGACTATGGGACTCCAAAAAAAACATAAATCTATTAAAAGTATATAATCTCATTAGACCCCTCTCTTTCTTCCACTGTGTACTAGGCACAAACCATTATTCCAAATTATCCGGGAGAAGAACAGTAGCAATGATGATGAAGATGACAATAATGATGGTCATTAGCAGCAGCGAACTCTCTTACAGCATCAGACAGGGACAGAGAACTGTTCTGAACAGATCAGATGTGCTACTTCTCTCTCTCTTTTTTTTTTTTTTGTGGTGCTGGGGATTGAGCCTGGAGCCCTGCCCAAGCTAAAGCAGACACTCTACCACTGAGCTACGTCCCCAGCCCTTTTTAAATTTTTATTTTGAGACAGGGTCTCACTAAATTGCTCAGGCTGGTCTTGAACTTGAGATCCTCCTACCTCACTCTCCTGAGCTGCTGGGATACAGCCTGTATCGCTGCGTTAGTTCTTTTAATTCTCAGAGTCACACTGCAAAGTAGACACTATTTGTGACCCTCTTTTTACAGAGGGGAGACCTTGCTCCAGGTTTCCCACTCCATGAGGTGGACTTGCGCTGGATCTGCTGTGACACAGCCCACAGCTGGCTCCAAACAGCTGGACTGTCCAGAACGAGGTGCACTGGTGGGCATCAGAGAGGAACAGAGGTGTCCATGGACATACACTAGGGAGCAGAGTAGCAGAGAGCACCCAGCCAGCGGCAGCCGGGGCGGGCGGCGCAGAGTGGTGCGGCTGGGGACTCACCTTCGTTCTCCCCACTCGTCTTCGCGCCTCTGGAACCACCCTCTGTACCTTTAGCCTTCTCGGCGTCCTCCTGGGCGTCCTCGGCAGCCCCCTTCTCCTCGTCCTCCTCCTCCCCAACGTTTTTGTAGTTGGGTCTCTTTTGCACCCGCCTCTTGCCCTTGTGCTTGTTCATCTCAAGGGACCGCTCCAGGGACTCGGTGGGTTTAATGAAGCACCGAATGCTGGGCTTGGCCTAGGAGTCCAAGAAAGGAACCCATTAATTGGAACACTGGGATCTTGATGGATGTTTGCAAGCTGCTCCACAGTTTCTGCCTCCTAAACAACAAATGCTACTTCCTGGTCTAGAATTATGACTAATATCGTTACCATCATCAAAAAATCAGAAATAGCACCAGTTGCCATTTACTGCTCACTATCCCCATCAGAAATGCTGTGTTTCGCCAGACCAGCTCACACTTCCAGGTGTCTGCCGTACACAAGCTGCTCTACGGCTCTGATTGCGTTGCCTCATTTAAACTGTATGACACCCCTTAAGAGAGTGCAGTTGTCCTCATTTTAGAGATAAGGAAGGCAAAGGTCAGAGACACTAAGTGATCTACCCAAGGTTACAGAGCCTGGCGGCAGCTGAGCTAAAATCTAAACACATACCATCTGCACCACCTGCGTCTTTGCTACATACAGCACGATGACATTGCCATGTTTAAGTAAATCTTTGTTTTATATAAATGTGTGTGTGTGTGTGTGTGCGCGCGCGCTGTAGATGGACACAACATCCTTATTTTACTTATTTATTTATCTATTATTTTTTACGTGGTGCTGAGGATTGAACCTAGTGTGTCACTCAGGCTAGGCAAGCACTCTACCGCTGAGCCCCAAACCCAGCCCGGTAAGTCTGTTTCAGAAGAAACTGTCTCTCACTACAGGAAATGGTACATCAACCTGCCTCACTGTTGTGAAAATAAACAACAAAAAGACAAGGCGAGGCTCCCTGGAGGCAGCCACGTGCGGGCTCTCCCTAGCATCAGTGACACAAAGGTGTCCTCTCCACAGAAGACGCTTCTTCCAAGAGGACACAGGGCCCTCTCAGAAAATGAGGAAGGCCCCTGTCACCTATAATCCATATCCCATTCTCCTGTATCGAGATCTTCCTAACCACCACGATACACAGTCCAGTTCAAAGCTGAGAAAATAGAGGCCTGAGAGGCTCAGCAACCTGCCGGATGTCAGCCACCACTCAACTGCAGAGCCTGATTCTGAACCCAGGCTGCTCGACTCCAAAGCCCAAGCCTTGCCTAAAATAGCACCGTGTCGTCAGAAACTCAAACCCAGGTCTCAGCTTAGTATTCTTTTAAAAATATATGCATATAGATGGGCACTGCGGCACCTGTAGTCCCAGGCTCAGAGACTGAGGCAGGAGGATGGCTTGGGCCCAAGAGTTTAAGGCCAGCCATGGATGACATAGCAAGACCTTAAAACAAAAAAAAAAAAAAAGGAAAAATATATACATGCAAATCAACCACGTCTAGAAAGGAGTTAAGACGAAAGGAAACTGATTTTTAGTGCAGGGTTTTGATTGAAATGTTTCTCCCTTTCTAAACTCTGGATAAGCTTCAGACACCATTTTGTCATTAAGGAAAAAAAAAAAAAGATTTAGAATACACTTTTCCATTACCTTGATGTGGATCATCCATCTTACGAACGTACCCCAAAGAGAAACCATTTGTATTCCAGGGCCACTATACCTTGCCAACAAGTGGTATGTGCTCAAGGCACACAGATTAATTTCAATAATACTCAAAACAAAACCCAATTGAGAGCTAAATTAGCATCCAAATCCAAACATTCATTTTTATTTACCCACTTCGTATTAGTCAACCACAAAAATGACAAATCAATTGAGACATGGTTCTTCTGTCCAGGAAACCCAGATAGCATATCACAGATGCCAACAATCAAGAGGCCAGAGACGACAGCATTCAGAGCGTGCACTCCTTGGCAGACGGCATCCGTCAGAGCCCGCTGAGGATGCTGTGGGATCGAATGCAGCCCTGGGTGCCCCTCACCCTCTCCTGACCCACCGGTGAGGCCCCAGGACTAAGACTAGATTCCTCCCGTCACCACCTACTCCCTGAGAATTTTAGAGCATGCCATGCAATGGTCAGAGCTTGCAGACACAGAAAACCAAGGCCAAGTGCACAGCAACCCCCTGCCCCCAGTAAGAGGAACAGAAATTCACACGGATGGGTGAAGAAGCCCTTCCAGAGCCCTGTGTAGACAGGACTGTACAGAACAACTGGAGGAACAGAGGGAAGTGAAGCAGGGCTTGGGGCCATCAGAGTGGCCCGAACCCCAGACCAGCTGCCCAGTCACCATCTTTGTCTGAAATAGGTAGCAAATCATTCTGACCTTCTAGAACTAAATGAAAACGTGGATATAAAGTCTTCAGGGTTGGGGATGTGGCTCAGTGGTAGAGCATTTGCCTTGCATATATGAGGCCCTGTTTTCAATCCCCAGCACTGGAAAATAAAAAAAAAAAAAGGAAAATCCCCCAGAGAGTGGTGAAACAGTAATAATCCCAAGTGACAGTTACCACCTTCTTTTCTCTGCCTTTATCAAAAAGAAAAAAATTGACTGTAAAAATGAATTTCAGAACTTTCCAAAAGGATCAGTTTTTCTTGACGATCAGGTGTTTGGGTGGAGGGGAAGACATGCTTTCTGGGGAAATTTCAGATCTTTAAAAATGCAACCACCCGGTAAACAGCTGGAAATAACTAAAGGTCCATCGACTGGGGCGTGGTAAGGAAATTATGGTCCATCCATCCATAGATAAGAGATCCATGTGGATGTTAAGAAGTCGGAGGGTTTCTGTTCCTGGGTGGACTGATGCGGAAACGGTGCCAGGGTGAACAGGCATGTGGTGAGGTCCCTTCAGGAGAGCTTTTCAAAGACTACACACAGTGACGTAAGCACAGCTGTTCCTAGAAAGAGGCATAAGAATGTGACATTTCACCTCTGGGGAGAGAGAAGTCAGGCACTGGGTGCACACACCACACAAGCACTCTGTTTTCTCATTTGGTTTGAAATTTCTGATCATGTACACACAGTCTCTTTTCTCTTTTAATTTGACAATGGTTAGCTGGACTTTGGGTTCTGTGCAATTTTTGTTTCCTTTTCATTCTTCTGTATTTAAGAAGCTGGCATTTCCCCCTTAATAAACATACAGTCATCGTAGAGAAGCTAGTGCCACTTGGCTGGGAACGGAGGCAGAGATCTGTGACCGTTCCTGCTCAGAGGAAACACAGGGACCCTGAGCTCAGTGGGCAGCTTCTGGAGTTGGGGCCAGCTAAAAGTCACGAATGGAATTTCGATGGTAGCCCAAGGGCCTAACTGCTCCCTGCCGGGCCTGCACCTGCCTACTGGTTACGGCGGCCCTCCCCAGCCTCCTGCCCCTCCAGCCCAGGCTCTGGTCCTGGCTTTTTAAGGACAAACACTCTGGGAAAGGTAACTCCTCAGGCCGTGCCCAAGGCCTCTCAAGGAATGCGGGATGGATGGGGATCAGGGAGCACCCTATACAGCGGCAGGGACAAGGGTCAGGAGGGACAAGCAAGGCCTGGGAGCCAGGGTGGAGGAGGTGAAGCAAAAAACGCCACTGGTGAGAGAGAAGTCCCACGAGTGCTCCCTGCGAGGCCTGGCCTGTGTGCACAGCTGAGAGACCGGAACACGCTGCACGCGCACAGCAAGTCAGCTCCGTGGCAGTCAGCAATGCCCTTTACGGTAGAACCCCGTGGGGTCAGCAAGGAGCTCAGTGGCAGAGCGCCTGCCTCGCACGTGGAGGCCCTGGCTCCATCCCCAGCCCTGCTGAAAAAGAGAAACTATGTTCCATGGTTGGTGAAACACGGACACCGAGGTGCATCGCGTGTTCCATGGTTGGTAGATCTTTGCATGAAAATGCACAGAGAAAGGTCTGGAAGGACAGACTGAAGACAGTGGCTCTCTCTGAGGAAGACACGGAGGTGGGGACTTTCACTTTCCACCCTACCTGCTTCAATGTCACGCAGTTGTTCTGCCCTGAGAAAGGACTACCAGTGCCACCTAAAAGTAAACACACCTTTAAAAACCGTGTCCAATGCCACTGAACTCTGCACTTAAAAATGGTTAGGATGGCAAATTCAATGTCATATTTATCAACACAGTTCTTAAAAACCCAAAAGTTTTAAAAAGCACCTTTAGAAGTCAGAACAGTAATTACCGTGGTGAGGAGGGGCGTTAGGGACTGAGAAGGAGCTGTATGGGGTGCAAATTACACACCAGTGTAATCATGTGTACAAGATCATCAAGCCGTACACTACATTTTACACACAGGTATGACCAAATGAATAACAAAGCATCAAGCAGTGCACTAAGCTTACTAGACTTTTATGCAGTTTACTATGTGTATGTTAGCCCTCAATTAAAAAAAAAAAAAAAAAGGCTCAGCTAGAGGACTGTGAATAGATTGGAACAATGCCCTAACACAAGCTGGGAGCGAGCTGAACCTCGGGAGGAGCCTGGTCTGCTGGGCACCAGAGGCTCACCCATCTGTCGCTGAGCACTGGCTGAGCACAGGGGCTGGGGAAGCGCAGGAAGCCACCCCACCCCCTGCAGGACTCAGGCGGCGGCAGGGCAGGTAAGCTCTGCCGTACACACTGCAGCACAGCCCCGCAGCTGCCGGGAAGGAGGCTCGCGCAGGAACGGCAAGCTCTGCAAGGAGCCGGTGTGTGCTGCGGCTGGGCACGCAGGGTGTGCAGGGGCACTTTGCAGAGGGACCGCAACAGGTCTGAGTCTTGAATGTCAACGGGAGTTCACCAGCACCTCAGGAGGTAGAGAACAGGAGGGGCCAGCTTGGAACCTGTCTGTCAGGTGTGCCTGGAAGAGGCGCTCCCACTCTATGTCTCCTATGGCCTGGGCCACCTGGAGCTGGTGCTCTTGGTGACAGTGATGGTGTCCTTGGACACAGCAGATGCACAGCTGTGTGGACTTCCTGGGAGTCTGGTGGTAGTGCAGGACCAGCGAGGCCGTCTCAGCGGCAGCTGCTGAAATGCACTGACTGCAGAGGGGTTCAAGGCATGCATGGCTCAGAAGAGGGTCCAGGTGACCCAGCCTGAGCGCCCCATAGGCGCAACCCTTTGAACAGGTTTCTGAGCGCCTACTCAGGGGGTATGGTGGGGACAGAGGAAGCAGTGACAGGCAATG